GGGATGGGGATGGGGGAATGTAGTCCTGGCTGACCTACAACTCACTGTGCTGACCAGGCTGACCTCAGACTTGGAGATCAGCCTTCTCCTGTCTCCCGAGTACTGGGATCGGAGGCAAACACACCTAGCCTGAGGATGCAGACCTTACCTAAACACCTTGGTGGTGATTCAGCTTTGAGTCTGCCACCATACCCAAACTATAGACTCTCTTCAGCACCCCGAAGAGGCCCACCACTTTGCCTCTCCTTCATTCACTTCCTCCGCTTTGTGGACATTTCTTTGACTATGCTGTCACAACCAACTGGGCATATATTTAAGCATCATTGATTGGCATCATGTGGCAGGTGCTGGTTTGTGTCACCTGTGGGGATGCAGAAAGCAGGTATGTGTTCCATTGTCTCTATTTCTCAGAGACTTTCACCACTGGGCTTCTCTGTCTCCCAGGCAGGGATTTGAGCCCATAGCATCCATGACCCAATGACCAAGTATATGCATCTCTGTAAAGCCAGGCCCAATTCCCAGGTCCTTCCTCTTCGCATGGGCATGAGATTGGGTCTGACGACATGAGAGAGATAACCTTGAATTCCCTCTAATTTACACAAAAGACAAATCGGGGGAAATTATTCGAAAACTGCAACACTTTATTATTAGTAACGTATTTGTCTATGATGCATCTCACAACTGTTGGTGCCACACCAGCATGTCACAGCTTTGAGGCTGAGAACTGCTAGTCTAAGTGGTGTGATTTCAGAAGGAGGGCCACTTCCTGCCCCCAAAATATCTCCTGTCTCCGCCTCACTGTTTTCCCCTGAAGTGTCGCCCCAGTCGACCTATTGCACTGTGTCAAACCGCCCAGCATCATCTTTTAAAGTGTGAGGACTCCGGAGGGGAGAGAAAATCTATTAAGGCCACAGTGCTCTTTAGTGAGGCCTACAGAGGACTCAGAAAGAAACTCACATGTACCCGTGTGCCACTCTCCCCATCCCTTCAACAAGGTAAGTGGGACAGTACTGTTACCCCCACTTTTCACATGAGAAAACTGAGTCTTAGGCATCTCTGAGTCAGGACAAAGAAGCCTGCACCCAGGAGGGAAATGACACCTTTAGGACATAAGGAGGATGTTCCTTTATAATACATTCCCCAGGCAGGCTTCTTCTACACCAGAGGCACGGATGTTCTCCATGTTCACCAACATCTGTCCCATTCTTGGTTACCACCAAGGCCAGGGACAGGGACATATCAAAGCATCAAGTCCCACCCTTAAAGAGATGTGCAGAGGTGTTCCTGTCCCAGAAGGGTCAGTTTCTAGAAAGGAATGCCCACTTGGAAACCTTATGAAGCATTTAGTCCTTATCAAATGTCTCGTGTGTGTATTTCCACTACAGTAACCCTGTAGAATAGTCCTCCTGGGCTCCTTGGGTAAATGAGAAGGCCCATGCTCAGTCAGTTAAATAAATTCCTGGAGACCAAAAGCTCAGCGAAGGCAAGGAGACTGGCCAATATGCTGATCACCGTCTTTCTGCTACGCAAAGACTTGTCCAAGTACTCATTCCCTGTATGTCCAAAGTGTCGTGAACTTGACTGACCCTGAAGAGCACATCCTTTCCACCATGCCCCCATCACCAGAAGGACTCACTGCAATAGAACAGCCCAGAGATGCAATATAAGAGTGAGGGAGCAAGCATGAACTTGGCAGAAGAACAAGGACCATCCACGTAAGCCAAAGATCTGGCAGCCAGACCTGCTGGTATGAGGCAAGCGCTCTCCCTTCAAAATAGCATCCCCACCCATGATTCCACCAGGGTGCCCTTATTCCTTAGGGTCCTAAATGTAGAGAATCATGGTTGTGTAATTTCCCAAACCTGCATCCAGAACCCAGTCGATGCCTGGATTGTGTTAGGCTGGGAGAGGACAAACTAGATAAAACTCAGTTGCGTCTTTGAGTTCTAGAAAGCAAGAGGTAAAAGCCTATGAAACCGTAGCAACCGATGGGCTGTGGAGGGAACCCACCCAGCGTGTGAAGCTAATATATAAGGTCATCAGTGTGTGCATCTATTCACGTGTTCACGTGTCAATGAGTTTATATGCTATCCTGGAATCAACAGGCAATATTGTAGAGAGGACTTCAGCTGGAGAGTAACCAAAAACTATCTGTCTTCCTTGATGTCAGCTTTGGCAGAATCAGCCACGGGAGATGAGAAAGCAGAAGCTGGGGGTTGCATGGAGGTAGCCCTGGCAGCACTAAGCTGGGCTCCTGTGGGGCTGCATTTGTCCCTGAGAAGAACTGAGAACTCAATGAGACTACCAAAGGAGAAGGGAATGCAGAGGGAGTGTTCAGCTAGATCCATGGCAGACTGATGGCATGACTATAGGACTTGACGTGGCAAAGGAACTGAGTCTGCCATTCATGGGAAAAGGCATTAGCCCCCCTTCACCCATTGCCAGGGCAAACCCCAAGGGCTGTGGTGGCCTCCATGCCATGAGTTGGTTGGTATCTAAATTAAGGGTAGGTAAGAGATACCAAATGCTGCCAGGCAGGGTCCAGGATGACCACTATTTGTCACACCACAAAAACAAAACAAAAACCCTACTAGAAGGTGTCCCTGCTCTCCACTCTGTATCTGTCCCAGGGCCCCAGGGCTCTACTGAGAAAGCATGACCAGTCGGGGTGGGTGGAACCACACTTCAACCAGGGAGACTCCAAATCCCCAGCATGTGCTGACCCATCAGACCTCACTCACAACACAGTGTCAAAGATTAAGGCATTAGGAATGCAAAGATATGGACAGCAGAGCATTCAGTCCCTTTAAGGTCAAGAACCTACACTGGTCACATTAATAGGAAGCCATCCTGGTGCCTGGTTTGGAGCTGCCAAATACAGTGACCAGGGGGACTATCAGTTCAATGCTTCTAGAAGATTCACCCATCATCAGCTAATTTCTAGCATGGCCAGTGACAGCTTCATCATGGGGCCTGGGTTTGAGACAGAAAATATATCCCAGAGAAGTGGCAGATGCAAAGGCACCAGACCAGGTGTGTGTGTGTGTGTGTGTGTGTGTGTGTGTGTGTGTGTGTGTGTGTGTGTGTGTGTGTGAAGAGAGAGAGACAGAGACAGACAGACACACACACACACACACAGAGAGAGAGAGAGAGAGAGAGAGAGAGAGAGAGAGAGAGAGAGAGAGAGATAAGGAGCATCCCACACCCATGAGTCTCAAGTGCTATGGTGTTTGGTGAAAAGGAGCTCCATCAGTTTTCTGTCAGTTTTCTTCATCCTTAATCCATTTCTACTTCCTTGAGGTTTCTCTCAGGGAAAATGGGTGGGACAGTTATGACATCATGCCAAGGGAGCAGCATGCCAAGACCCTGAGTAGTCCTTCTGAGAGAGATAGGCTCTGAGCTTGAGGGGTCTTTGAAAGCAGAGACCAGGTGATCTGGTGAAAGTAGCACTTGTGAGTTAACAAGACATGCGAAGGCAGCTGGGTTGGAAGACAGTTAACCTCACATGGGGCCAAAGGTAAAATCATAACCACATGGCTCTTGGGAAACATGGATTTGGGTTTTGTTGGTGTGTGTGTGTGTGTGTGTGTGTGTGTGTGCATGCCACAGCATATAAGGTCAGAAGATAACATCTTGTGTCAGTCCTCGCCTTCCTTGTTTTATTATTAAATAAAACTTTATTGTAAAGAACTCTCAAATAAAAAGTACACAGTAAAATTAGCCAGACCCAAAGTCTACACATCTCAATGAGCGTCTATACGGTTAGAATGACCATCCTGAGGCTGGAGAGCCTCACACTGGTTTGACACCTTCATATCAACTATGTTTTTATGCACTTACCTACCACACACAAAAAAAGGAAAAAAACCAGTGACAGAGTTAAAACTAGAAAAACACTAAATTTCATTTCCTCCTTCATGACTCGTGTCCATTACCTGCATTTACTCCTTCATTGCTTAACATTAGCCTTTATTGTTCGCCTTTCTATTATACAGTAATCATATATACATTATTTATATACATATACATACATACACGTCTATAGTAGACTAGGATCCCCAAGTGAGCAGTTTTTTTTTCTTTCTGAGATTGTGTGACCTTGCTTAATAGTATACATTCTAAATCCATTTTCTTGCAAATTTTGGGATTTCATTTTTCTTTAGAGCTGAGTAGCATTCCATTTCATGTCAGCACTGGCTTTCATTGCAGCTTTACCTGCTCAGACAACTGGGTTGGTTCCATTTCCTTGCTATAGTGAATAAACAACAGTAAAGTACCCATGGGGATCAAACACCTCTCAGGTGGAATGTGGAATTTTCTGGGTATATGCCCAGAAGTAGAATAGTGGATCATTCTATTTTTAAATTTTGGGGCAAAATCTCAAAGCTGATTGTCATAATGACTGTATTAACTTGCAACTCCACCGAAACTGTCTTGTTTTGAAGCGTGATCCCTTGTGTACGCCAGTGTGCCACGTTAGCCAATGAACTTCCAGGAGATCCTCCTGTCTCTGCCTCGCATCTTGTCGTGGAAGTGCTAGATTTACAGATATGTGCCACTGCATCCAGGTTTTATAAGGTTTGGAGATCAAAACCCTCAATATCAGACTTGCATGTCAATCACTCCTCCTCACTGGGCCTGCTCACCAGACCCTACCCGTCTTTATACTTGCCATTTTGAGACAGGGTCCTGCTAATTTGCCAAGACAGACCAGGGTCTGTAAGCCAGCCAGACCCTGAACTTTCTGTTGTCCTTGTCCTGCATCAGCCTCCCAAAGTAGCTCTCCAGGCCGGCACCACCAGACACATCTAGTTCTTCTCCATCATAGAGAGCACGAGTTTTCTAACAATACCAATAGTGGACCTGCGGTGGCCCAGCAGGCTGGAAGTAGCATATATATGATCTCCTTCCTCCTCACAAAACCCTGCAAGGCAGGCACTCCAATCACCAGTGTACAGAGAAGGAGGAAACAGAAGCATAAAGAAAACATTGTCACTTACCCAAGGGCTACTAAGTAGCAGGGAGCTGTGCAAGATCTGAAAGGAGTGCCAGCTCTAGCTGTCACTGCCCTTGAACACCTTCCAGGAAGTTGAGCTATACATCATTGAGCTGAGCACCATAGGACAAAACCCAGATCTGAGAACAAATGAGTTCGTAGGTGGGGATACTGTAGGGATGGTCCATCAGCAACAAGAGAGGCAGACTTGGTAACTTCTAGCTCTCAGAGAATCAGCCATCTCTCCATTCCTTTGCCCTTGGCCAAACTTGTTAAAAAAATAGCTGTTTGGATCTACTCTGTCTGAAGTGGGCCAGTCAGGAGTCTGGAGCCCGGCTGGCACTGCAGGGGGTTACATGATAGCAAACGATGTGCCCTGTGCCATTCCATCAAGATCATCTGGCTGTAAAACAAAAGAGCAAAGGTAATTCTGGTCCTTTCCAATAGACCAAAGGTTCAGAGTACAGAAAAAAAAAAGGATGACCATAGAAGAAATACACTCTGGAAGTTTTGTTTGTTTGTTGATGTTTGAGGCCTGGGTAACCCATGCCAGTTTCATGCTTCCCATATAACCAAGTATAACCTTGAACTCCTGGTCTTCCCGCCTCCACCTCCCAAGTTCTGAGCTCATAGGCACACAAGGGCTCAGCTACTCAGTGGTCAGATAGCTCTATCTCCCCGAAGACACGCCTCTCTTTTACCTGTAGTGCCACCAGCCACTGGAGGCCTGGCCAAGAAGGGGCAGCATCAGGCCATCCATCCCAGTAGAAGTTGACCTCCTCCTCCCTTCTGGACTTTAGATCTGGGACTCCAAAGCAGCTCAGAATTATCTTTGCCTCTCCCTAACTATGGAGACTCAAAAAAAGGCTGCCAGAGCAGGATGCTGGCAGCATCTGTGGACAGGCATTTCTGAAGGAATGCCCCCCCACCCAACCCTCATGGCTTTCCACCCCTGCGTCTCTTTACAGATATATATTTATAGACATATAAATATCTTTTTCCCTGAGGGACAATGCAACTCAGCCAAGTGGGAATTCAGCGTGATCTGGTAAGATTTGTTGCAAAGGAATTTTACTGGGGTGGGGAGAGAAATTGTGTATTCAGGACACCACCCAGTTAATAACCAAACACACAGCTCCCAGAACACACGAGCTTTCCTTCCTTTCTTTCTTTTCTTTAAGTTAACCAAGGGTTTATTGTCTGGCCCCTTTTGCCAATTTAAATTATGGAGATTTCCCCCCTTTAAGACAATAAGCAAACTAACAGTAGGGGTTAAATAATTTGTTAAGGGGTGGTGGGTAGAGAGGAGTTGGTGCTTCGAAGGGGGGTAGGGGTAAAATCTGCCAGTAGCAGCAATAAATACAGAGTTGTGCCTCAGGCATAATATATCAAAGAAAATATAATGCATCCAGCTTAAAACTAATGATTGCCATATAATTAGATGAGAAGCATTGTGCTATAAATGTGTATTCTTTAGCGTGCTGTGATTTTACTGTAAAAAAAAGGAGAGAGAGAGAAAGAGAGAGAGAGAGAGAGAGAGAGAGAGAGAGAGAGAGAGAGAGAGAGAGACAGAAAAACACAGAGCCCAGCAACATACTATAAAAAGACCCCTCTGTTGACTTCGCTGCTGTTTAGTATTCCTTGGCTGTTCTCCCTTGGGAGTGTGTAATTAGTGCTTTATGAAGAGTACATTTAAAGCAATTTAATATTCACCTCATTCAATCTGAAACAATGTGATCCATGCTTAGACAAATCAGTGCTCCTTGCTGACATAATCTGTCAGAACATTACCTCTGAAAAGACCTTTCAAGAGGTTCTGCTGTTAATTAGTTGTCTATCATGTATAAACAGAGCAGTGAGCAGAAGGGCCTCGACAGGCCAGAGGGATACGTTGGGAAATGCATTTTGTATGAATGTGGGTTGCAGGGGGTGTCTTCTCACTCACCAGCCTCCCTCCTCCCCCATAGCCTCGCCTGGCCACGCCTGCAACCACACACGCCTTGGGCCTCTTCCAGGCAAGCAAAGTGCTTTCCAGTTGACTTTAGGGGGCACTGCCAGTCCCCACAATGAAGTGTTAACACACACACACACACACACACACACACACACACACACCATGCCACAGCTCCCTAGACAGACCCACCTGCAAGATACAACAGCTGCTTTTACAACCCAGGGTGCATGACCTCACAGGCCCACTGGAGCATGCTGGGAGGCTCTATTAGCTTTGAGTGGGACAGGCCCCACCCACCATGGGCAAGGACCAGGCAGAAAATAAAGGTCTCATATGCACCCCCCTGCTCTACCCTAAATAAGAACAACTAACACACATAGGCATTTACACACAGGGACCTCCTTGGCCGCCTGAGACACAGTGACAGCAATGTTCAGAGGCCTGTTTAAGGTCACTTAGTCCAGGCCTTACCTTCAGGGGGCGCTTTTGCCCAAGTCCATCCTACAGGGATGAGTGCTGGCTCTTGATGTGTATGTTGTCTAAGGATTTGAATAGCTCTTCCTTATTCTGGATTTGGAGCACCTATGTGCAAAGCATCCTAGACCTTGTAGTGAGTAGGTCAAGACACTAGGATAGCAATTGTCACAGGCTCCCCAAGCACCTAACCCTGCAGGGTTCCAGAAGCCCCCCCCCATACTGTTGCCCTATGTCTGTCTCCCATGCCTATTTAAGATATGTCACCGTCCTCAGTGGCCTCAACCCTACAGTTCCAACATTCACTGCATAAACATCCATTAGGCACCTACTGTGTGCACTATACTATGTACTGCATTCCAGGGCAGCTGGCATGAGTAAGTCACAATCTCTGTTCATAAGATGCTTATAGACCCATAAACTTCTAATTACAGTTTGGGGCAGTTATAAGTAATGAAGAGAGGCAATATAATTTTGTAACTAGAAGGGAAGGCACTAGAACTGAATTGCTTGGACTCAGATTTTAGACTGCTTAACAGTTAAGTGACTCTGCGCAAGTTAATTGGCTGCCCTAAGCCTCTGTAATGGAAGTCAGAAATACGCCTCATGGGTTTGTAAGAATTAACTGAGATGACGAGATAAAGTGCCTAGACAGGAGAAGCCCAAGTGCCGGGGGGGGGGGGTGAGCAGGGACTCTGGACACTGCTGAGTGACATCCCAGGAGGTGGGTCCCAGCTGAACCCTTCAGAAGGAGCCATGAGATGGCACAGGCTGAGCAACGATGAGGTATCCTGACAATTAGGGAGAGCCAGCCACTTCTCCCTGTATTTCTGAGAGAAGTAGGAAGACAGGGAAAGTGGGAGGGAGACAGGGAGAGAAGGAGAGAGAGGGAGAGGAGAGAAAGAATAAAATTAAAATCTCAAAATCCCCTGACCTCAGGCCACACTGGAGAGAGGACCACCGCCGCCACCGCTGCCACTGGTCTGGACTGTGTTCTTCCACAGCCCCAGACTGAGAGCCCTGACCCACCCACAAGCAAAGCAGCCCGGAAGGAGGAAGGCCAGAGTACACCCAGCCCTCCCTCACACAGCACCCACTGTCCAAAAGGCACTCAATATGTGTTCCACTCTGCCGGCAATGAAAAGCACGGAGTTGGGTCAGCATTATTGTGTCTGAAAGGGTTAAGCAAAGCTTCAAGGGCACACAGCTACCCCAAGCTGGATGCCAGGCATTTCCTCTTTCCACTTCCCCCACCTACCTTCACTTTAGTTATCAGCCTGCTTTTGCAGGGCCTATGAGTTAAGAATGGCTTTTGTGCTGGGCGGTGGTGGTGCATGCCTTTAATCCCAGCACTCGGGAGGCAGAGGCGGGCGGATCTCTGTGAGTTCGAGGCCAGGCTGCACCGACAACCTCCAAAACAATATAGAGAAACCCTGTCTCGTAAAACCAAAAAAAAAAAAATGGCTTTTGTGTTTTTCAAAGGTGGTAAGCAGAGAAGCAAACACAGAGGGAACGTGTGACTAACACCATGTGTGACATCCCCCCACCCCCCACCACCAAGGCTCAGACATCTGACACCTGGACCTTTCCAGGAAGTTTGGCATGAGGCTGCCCAGGGATGGCTCACACAGTGAGGACCAGGCATTGAGTGCCACATACACCAGGTATGAAAAGGGCACTGAGGGAAAACCAGATTTGAGGCCTAGGACATTGAGAAGTAGCTCAATCACTTCAAAGCCATTTTCACACACACACACACACACACACAGAGAGAGAGAGAGAGAGAGAGAGAGAGAGAGAGAGAGAGAGAGAGAGAGAGAGAGAGAGAGAGAGAGAGAGAGAGAGAGAGACCTGTTTGGCAGAGAAAATGGGGCTGGGGACAGCAGCCGTGACCCTCTCGCAGGCTCTGTGGTTGAGAATGAAACAGTTTCCACACAGTCCTCTTCCTGAGTTAGCAGTCCCACTCTGTGTGAAAAGCAGGGATGGAATGAATAACTGAGGGATCACCCTACCAAGGCTCTATGACCCAAGGGCCAGTTTCTGACCACCACACCAGACTGCAAGGGAAGCTGGAACCCAGGCAGGCAGTTGGGCAGGCAGGAGGGTCCCAGGCCACCCCTGCTTTCCATAAGGCTTGAATTCCTGTGCATCTCAGATTTCCCTTTTCAACACCAGCCCTTGGAGTTGTTTCAGCCTCTGAATCATCCCCCACCCCACCCCACCCCTACCCCAGGAGGAGTACCCTTCCTACTTTTCAAGATTTTAGGGGTGATTTTGGCTCCTATCCATCAAGCTAAGTGACTGCCCTAGAGGACAGAAAAGGCCAACCCCAGTCCTGACCAGCTGTGTGACAGACAGCGGGTCTCCATCCCTCTCTGGGCCTGCCTTTTCTCCCTGGGAACTCAGAAGTCAGAATCTCCCCCGACTCCCAGGTCTTAAGGGATCTGGGAATGTGAATGAGGTCATGTCTGTGAGCTGCCTGGCGGAAGGAAGTAGCAGGACAAACACAAGGCCGCATTATCTTCTGGAGTTGGCAGGGCAGTTGCTGGGAAGTTGCTGGGAAGGGGGTTGTCTCAAAGGCCTCTGAGGCAGCCCTGGGAATACCACAGGGAAGTGTCACACCAGATCCAACTTCCCAGGCTCTGAGACATAAGTTCAAATCCCAGCTCAGCTGCTTAGCAGCTTTGGGAAGCCACACGCTCTCTTTCATTCAGCCTCTGCTTCCTCGCCTGTTTTAAAATGAGAATAACCCAAGCCCCCAGGTTCATTGGTGAAGAAGTAAATAAAACAAGCCCTGGCATACAGCAGGCATACTTACTATGGCAAATACCCTGAGACCGTCACAGAAAAAATACCTGCCTTTGTCTCTCTGAGAGCTGTCTCCACATGGGAGTGAGCATACGTCCCCTAGGAGCCGGTCACCCCCACAGCCAGGAGGCCAAGGTCAGAGACTGGCCACTGAGTTCTGAGCCTAA